CCCGCTCTGTGCCAAGTTCCTCCATCGGCTCAATTAGCAGCAGCACAGAAGGAAACTGAATTCCCATCTCCACATACAAGTGTCCCAGGGCTCTTGAATCTCATCGAACTTTCCTGCCAGTTCTTGGGACAGACATAATTTCTTACACAATCTCTCTGGAGGGAACTTGTAATTATATTCTTACCCAGTCTCATTGTCTCATTATGGCTTTCAATTCTTGAGGCTTCTCATTAAGAACCAGCCCTATCTAGTGTAATGTTTGGGTAACTCCATCATTTTTTCCTCTCTAGGGAACCAGTGAGTATCAATTAGGCTTCTACTGAATTAGGCTTTGGGAAGAAAGACAGTAAGACATAATAACTGTCCTTAAAAGAGTAAAGGTCAAGGTGGAGAGACAGGTATAAACAGTAAATAAGATACCTAATATGGCCAGTTAATCCATTCAGGAAGTCCCAAGGATAGGATGTTGAACTTGGAGCCTTCGAGGAAAGCCATATGGACGAGAGGATGCGAGCTAAGTGTAGAAGGCTTATTTATAATGTTCAGGATCAGATTTGAATAAGCATGCCAATCCTGAGTGCAAAGGCACAGAAAAAATCACATTCTCTTATATGTAAAAGAACAATCTGAAGTAGGAGAGAAAGCTGAAGTAACATGGGACAGATCAAATAACACACACACACACACAGACATATACATCAACAATTTACATACCAGTCTCAATTTAAATGTCAACTGAAGATGGAAATTCCTTGACATTTGATGAGATTTACAGTTTAGAAACATAACGAATGGAATGAAGGGGGCCTATTTATATTTGTTGCATAATAAACTACCCAAAATGTAGTTTAAAACAACCACAATTTTGTTTATGATTCTGTTTGACAATTTGAGCTGCGCCTAGCTGGGCTTATTCATGTGCCTGCAGTTGACTGCCAGTTTGACTTGGGGGTTACTTGCTCTTCATTCTGGTCACATCCTCCAGTGGTCTAGATGGGGCCTGTATACTTGCAGCCAGAAGGTTCCAGAAGAGTACAAGTTCCACTGTGCAAGCGCTGCTCAAGTCCCTGTTTGCCTGCAGCCTGCCCAGTGCAATCACGTGGGTGTGCCCAGAGTGGAAGGGTACTCGAGAGTTACACAGAAGAGGCATGGGTCCAGGAAATGGAAGGGGAGAAATGGTAGCTATTTTTGCAGTCACCACAGGGCCAGTGTTCGTATTGCAACTGTCTAAATGAGAGGGAATAGCTTTATATAGATAAAATTGACATTCCATTCTTAAAATACACAATGTGATAAATTTTGACCTGTGTGTACACTTGTGAAGCCATCACCACAATCAAGGTGGTGAACCCCAAAAAGTTTTCCTGGTGTCCCTTTATAATCCTGATCATTTCCAGGCAACCAATGAACAGGCAAGGTTCTTGTCCTGTGGAATTCTGAGGTCACTAAAATTTGTTCACGTGTTTGTTCAACAAATGACATTGTTGCTTCTTCTATTCCAGATCTAAGGCCTCTTTCTCCATGCAAGAACTTTTGACTAGAGGCCAGTATGTTAGGTCCATTCAGTTCTGGGCCTTAGGAGAACCAGGGTCTTCCCCTCCCTTCATTTTTCCTACATTTTCCTTTTCTTGATTCTTCTGGGACATGGTAGATCAGTGGTTCTCATTCAGGAGTGATTCGTCCCTTAGGGACATTTGGCAATGTCTGGAGACATATTTTTAGTGTTCATGACTGGGGCCGCAGATGCTGCTAAATGTCCTGCAATGCTTAGGACAACCCCACCATAAAGAATTACCTGGCCGCGGGCCGGCCGAGTGGCGCGATGGTTAAGAACTGGCTTGGGACGCCAGAGGGCCCCGGTTCGGATCCCATATATGAGGGCCAGTGACACTGCCCTCCACAGCTAAGATGCTGAACAACAGCTCAACCTGGAGCTGGGTTGCCGTGAGTCGCCGGCGACGGCGTAGGCTGCAGCCCCTGTGGCAGTGGGTTGCCATGGGCTACCGTATGTAGCCAGCAGCCAGCGTGAGCGGCCAGCAGCTGCAGTGAGCGGCTGTCCAGAAGCTGGGGACTGATCTGCCTTGCCCAGGAAGAGCACAATGATGGTGCCAACTTAGGCCAGTGAATCAACGTCCTCCACAACTAGACTGAAGAACAAAACAACAGCAACTTGTCTGTTCCCCTTCCCCCAATTCCCCAGCATTGTTCCCTTCCCCCCAATACCCCAATAAAAAAAATCTTTAAAAAAAAAAAAGAATTACCTGGCCGCAAATGGTAACAGTACCCAGGTTGAACAACTGTGTGGTACAGTAATAATTTTCTATTCCAGGAATTAATTGAAAGGTGGAGGACAGTCAGATAGTGCTACAGGCTCCCTAGGATGGTCCTGTTCTCTTGGCTTTGTCTAATCTGCCCAGGTCACCAGGGCCAAGGGTTCCATAGAGTGGTTGGTAGTAAGACTATTGCACTGAAGGAAGTGACTTTTCCAGGAGCAGTTATTTTGTATCTCATGCTCAGACATCTGCTGGAGAAGAATTCAGCTGGGCAGAACTTTCCAGGGTACAGCATCCTGCCAATAATAGATCTACCTCTTTTGGGCACAAGAATGGGTAACAAATATGCAGTGTTCATAAACATTATGCCACTACTTTTCAGGACTCTACATTAGACACAACGCTTCTGTAATCACCCCAACAACTATTTACAAATCAAGAATTTGAGGCTGCTTAGAGACAGTCAATATCCTAATAAATAATAAAGTGAGGGTTCAAACATTGGAATCTGCCTCGTCTGAATCCAGTGATTGTCAAGAGGGTTCAAAAGTTCTCAGGACAACCCAAGACAGATTTTAGAAGTTTAAAATTTTTGCTCTCTGTTCAAGAGAATCTCCCCATGGAGCTGAACCAGTATAAAGAATGTTTTGTCCTCCATTTCTCTGTTGTAGGGAGTCCCTGACTGGGGCCATGTCCTGGTCCATTTCTCAGTCTCTAGGTCCAGGAAAGTTCTCTCCTGGACTCTACAGATCTGGCCAGCATTTGGTGCTCCTAGGGCTGTTCGGGGGGCTGAGGCTTGCACAGGGGCCCCCTCTCCTACATGGCTTTCTTGGTGCTGAGTCACAATTCTGGGATATACTCAGCCCCATCTAAACCCATAGCCTGATCAACACTCTAACCAGTGTTTCCAATTCTGTTCTGGTAATGGATCCCTCCCCTGAACTGCACTGTTCTCCCCCTCCCCCCACCTTTCCAGCAGTGCAAGCTATTATAGTTAATAGGGTTAAAGGGACAGAAGAGTCCTTGGCTGGCTGTTCACAGTCTGCACCTTTGTGTGGTCAGCATAGACCCTGCAGACCCTGATGGCCCTCATGGATCTTGTGATGGCTAACAATTACTGAGTGCTTATGTCAGGCACTGTCCTGAGCTCTCCTGTGTGTAACATTTCATCTCCACCAGAACACTTCAGGAAATGTATTTTCATCCTTATTATGCATGAGGGTATGGAAGCACAGAGAAGTAACTTGGGCAAGATTGTACAATAGTGAATGATAAAGATTTTTGAACCCAGAGCCCTCTTAACCACTATGCCCTGATGCTCCAAATAGAACCATAGGACTTCACTCATATGTGGCATATAAAACTGAAAGCAACAAACAAATGACAAAAGCTCATAGAGACAACAGTTTAGTGGTTACCAGAGGGTAAGGGGGGAGGAGGGTGGTAGAAGAAGGAAAAGGAGGTCAAATACATGGTGATGGAAGGAGAACTGACTCTGGGTCTTGAGCACACAATGCAATATATCAATGATGTATTATAGAAATGTACACTAGAAATCTATGTAATTTTACTAACCAATGTCACCCCAATAAATTTTTAAAAGGTGCCACAGATAACATTTGAAGAAAAGGGCAGAGGATTAACAGACAAGGGAATATGAACAATTGCTGAAAATACAAAAATACCTCTCTCTCTCTCTCTCTCTCTCTCTCTCTCTCTCTCTCTCTCTCTCTCTCCATATATATATATATATATATATATATATATATATATATATATATATATATATACACACACACACATTTTAAGAAAGGAAAAAAATTAAAATTGTAATATTATATATATATACTGATAACAAAAGATAAATACAAGTCACGTTTGACTTCTGCAGTTACAAGAGCTAACTCAAAATGGTTACCATCAGTGTACTTTTAATACAGTTTTTTCCTTTCTTAAAGTGTATATATTTTTTTGGAACCCTCTCGACATATATGGAAACTGGAATGAGTAGGAGGGTGGTGGCCAGGGTAGGCCTCTTTGAGGAGCTGCCAGTTTAGATTTGAAACCCAACTTGTGAGGAGAGGAGTCAGGCTTGTGAAGATTCGGTGAAGCGTGAAGCAGGGAAGGAAGGTCGCGAGTAGATTGCTTTGGACTTTTATTTCAGGTCTGGCTCATATGGATCCACGAAGATCAGAATTTTCCTTCTCTTAAAGTAGACACTACAAAGAAGTTTCTAACTGAAGTTCTCAGTGTAGGGCAGTGGCCACCACCAAAGCCAAGATACAGTAACTAAAATATTATGGGGCAAAGGAGGTGAGTGGGAGACATTCCAGATAACGGTTCCCATACAGCCCGGGGAAAACACCGTCCCACAGGCGTGGTGCTGTGTTCTTGCTAGAACATCACAGGAGTAAGTCAGTGTGTAAACATTTGTTGTCATTCTTGTCCTCTCTTGTCCCCTGCTGCACTCCTGACTTGTTTTCTTCTCCCTTGATGCTTGCAGGAGTCTGTATCTTTGAAATAGTTTATTTTCATGAGAAGTTTAGTTATTAGTTGGCCATTTTCCCCCCTTGGGAGATGGTGAGCCTTTGGGTGTGCTGCTTCAAGTTTGTCTTTGGTTCACGAATGTCTTCTAGTATATCATGAATAGCATTTCTTCTCTGTCTCATTACATATTCAGAACTACTAATTCTCAGCACTTTGGATCTCTGTTGTGTCCTTCACTTCCAAGACCTCACCGAAAGTGAGCTCCTCTGCTGAAAAGTCTCAGAGCTGCCTTCATGTCTCTGTTCCGCAGATTGTAGATGAAGGGGTTCAGCATGGTCACAACCACTGTGTACATGACAGAGGCCACTGAACCCTTTCTGGAGGGATGGGCTGTTCCAGAAGTGAGGTAGACCCCATGGCCAGCACCATAGAACAAGGAGACAACTGACAGGTGAGACCCACAGGTGGAAAAGATTTTATACTTACTCCCAGCCGATGAAATGCCCATTATAGAGTAGATAATTCTAGAATAAGAAAAGAGAATCCCAGTCGGGGGAACAATACGCAGCAGGCCAGTTACAACATACAGCAGGATGTTGTTGGCCAGGGTGTCGGAGCAGGCCAGCTTGAGAATCTGCGCAAGTTCACAGAAGTGGGGGATTTCTGTCTCTTTGCAGAAGGATGCCCTCAAAACCATCAGACTTTGCAACAATGAATATGTCAAGCAGATTAACCAAGAGAGCAGAACCAGCAGCCCACAGATTCGGGGGTTCATGATGACCATGTACTACAGTGGGTGACAAATGGCCACAAAACAGTCATACGCCATCACAATCAGTAGCAAATTATCTAGCCCAGCAAAAACCATGAAGAAATATATCTGGGTGAGGCAGCCTTCATACGTGATGACTTTGCTCTGTGTCTGGATGTTCACCAGCATTTTGGGGATGGTGGTGGAGGCAAAACAGATGTCACTGAAGGACAGGTGGGAGAGGAAGAAGTACATGGGCATGTGGAGGTGGGGGTGTAAGATGATGGCCAGGATGATGAGCAGGTTCCCTATAACACAGACCAGGTACATGGATAGGAAGAGCCTGAAGAGAGACTGCAGGTCCATGTCTTCTGAAAGTCCCAGAAGCATGAATTTTGAAATAGCTGTGTGATTCCTTGATTCCATATGAATTTATGGAAATTGCCTATAAGAAGCAAGAGTAATGTTAAAACAGTGACAAAACAGAAATGTGCCATACATTTCAATCTCATTCACTCCTGAAGTCTTATGGTTCATCTGAGTTTTGTTTTCTTTAGTTGATGAAAATCTCTTCAGCAATTCCTTTCCTTCCCTGCTTCTATTACTACTACCTGGAGCACCTCTTTAAAATGAATGTCTCCTCAGAGGACACCATTCAGGGGTCTTTGCATTGTACCTGACTCCTGGCCAGTCCACCTGTGCTGTAAAATTCCTGTGAAAGGATAATAAACTTCTCCTTTCTGCCTCATAGCTGTGGTCTCTCCGAGTCCCAGGGAAATATGGAGAAGAGGTAGATTACAGGGAATTACAGAATTTAATGATGTTTTTTGTTTGTCCTCATGACATTTGCCAGTATCTTGAAATAGGCCATTCTCTGTTTCAGTTTTAACTCAGAGAAAGTTATTGGGAAAATATTTTATAGATAATTACTTCATTATTATAGTAACTTCTCCATTACTTTCCAATTTATTCCTTTACTATCATTATGATTAGTGTACCATAATATACCTCAATCAGAAAGACCACATCAGACTCCCCAACCCATCACCATGCAATCTAATTTTGTCCTGCATGTTTGTGTTATAGTTCTTTAAATTTCTTTAGGATGGGAGAAGTATGCCTTTTCTATTCCTTTTTCGTTTTATATCCCAAGCACTTAGTACAGTACCTGGTACATAATAGATGCTCTATAAATATGTGTTTAATGAAGGAAAGATTAAAAGACATTTTCAGAGAATAATAGAGGTAATTCCCTATCATAAAACCCTTTAACCAAGAACAAAGACACCATCGATCATGAAGACTTTTCAATTGAGTATACAGAGGGTGCCAAAAAATGTATACATATTTTAAGAAAGGAAAAAAACTATTAAAATTGTAATACTCGATATTACCAATAACAAAAGATGAATACAAGTCACGTTTGACTTCTGCAATTACAAGAGGTGATCAAAGTGGTTACCATAAGCATCCAGACACTTCTGATTACACCAAACTACGGCTTGAGTAACGTTGACCAGTGTCCACTTGTATACATTTTTTTGGCACCCCTGGTATAAAGAATGAGAGGATTCTACATTTTATTTCACTTCATTAAAAAAAGCCTTACTTTCTGTTTGATTAGTAGGTCTCTGCCACAGGAGAGAATTTATAAACTCAGAGGTAGTTGTCTTATACACATATAAGAGAAAGTTCCTTCCTTTGAGTTGAAATGTGTCTCTTTATAACTACACGGTCTTAGTTCCTCTCTCTGAGGACCATTTCTCTTTGCCATGGTAATTTTTAAGTTTCCATAGACATCTAGAAGACTTTCTCTGTCTCCTCATCTTTCATTTACTCCACAACTATTTGAGTGCCTACTGTATGCCAGGACTGGGTTAGGACTAAGTACAGGAAGTTAAGAGGCATGGGCTCTGCCTTCCTGCAGCTTTGAGTACCATGGGAATATTGCTGCCTTGGACTTCTGTGCAGTAATTATCCTAAGACCCTTATAATCACCTTGAGGAAAGTGATTAAAATATTACTTGATCAAAGTTAAAGAATATTGACTTAGTTGGAAACCAAGAAAGTTTGTAAAAGAAGATTAATGATAAGGACAGACAACTTTTAAAACTGTGAAAGACATAAACAGAGGGATCAGTGGAACAAAATGGAGAGTCAAGAAACAGACATGAGCCAGTACGAGAATTTAGTTCACAGTATAGATCGATCATGAGTGACTGGCAAAATTAAAAACAGAATGCTATTAGAAATGAATATTGATAATATATAGATATATATTAATATATATATATTTTAAGATTTTATTGGGAAATTGAGGGAGGGGAACAGAGAAGTTGTTGTCCTTTTGTTCTTCAGTCTACTTGTGGAGGACATTGCTTCACTGGCCCATGTTCGCATTGTGATCATTGCGCTCTTCCCAGGTGAGGCAGATCGGTCGCTGGCTTCTGGGCAGCCGCTCACAGTGGCTCTTGGCAGCTCACACTGGCTGCTGGCTGCTCACGCTGGCTGCAGGCCACTCACAGTAGCTTATGACAGCCCACTGAAGCAGGGGCTGCAGCCTACGCCATCGCTGGCGACTCACAGCAGCCCAGTTCCAGGTCGAGCTGTTGTTCACCATCTTAGCTGTAGAGGGCAGTGTCATTGGCCCTCATGTGGGATCCAAACCGGGGCCCTGCTGCTCAGAGCTGGTGTCCCAAGCCAGCTCTTAACCAACATGCAAATTGGCCAGCCCGATAATATATTTATTTGACTTCTTGAAGTGTGAAAACATCCTAAGCAGAAGAGCATTGAAAGAAATCACAAAGAAATATATCAATAGCCTAAAGTACAATAAATAATTTATTTATCAATAATACCAAATGACATTAAAAAGCAAATTAAAATCTGAGGGAGGGAAATTTATAATGTATAAGAAAATATAAAAGTGCAGTAACAATAAATTAGCTCTTAATAAGAAAAAAAATAGCAAAATAAAAAGGAGAGGCTAAACACAAGTGGATAAAAACATGAAAAAGTGCTCAAATTCCATACCAATCAATGAAAACTAAAACAATAGGAATTAGATGCCATTTTATAGCATTTTTAGAGCAGTTTTAAGTTTACAGAAAAATTAAACAGTACAGAGTTCCCATACAATCCCCCCATCCCTGCCCCTCGCCTCATGTTTGTCTGTTATTAATATCTTGCATTTGTTATGATTGATGAACTGATATTGATACTTTCTTATTAACTAAAATCTTTAATTGACATTAGGGTTAACTCTCTGTGTTGTACAGTTGGGTTTTTTTAGTCTTTTTTTAAAGATTTTATTGGGGAATTGGGGGAAGGGAACAGCTTTGGGGAATCGGGGAAGGGGAACAGACAAGTTGCTGTCCTTTTGTTCTTCAGTCTAGTTGTGGAGGACGTTGCTTCACTGGCCCATGTTGCTATTATCATTGCGCTCTTCCCGGGTGAGGCAGATTGGTTACCGGCTACTGGATGGCTGCTCACGGAGGCTCTTGGCAGCTCACGCCGGTTGCCAGCTACACACACCAGCTGCTGGCCACTCATGGTAGCTTTACGGCAGCCCACTGCAGCCTCACTGCAGCCTATGCCATCTTCGGCGATTCACAGCAGCAACAGCTCCAGGTCGAGCTGTTGTTCACCATCTTAGCTGTAGAGGGCGCAGCATCACTGGCCCTCGTGTGTGATCTGAACTGGGGTCCTGCTGCTCAGAGCTGGTGTCCCAAGCCAGCTCTTAACCAACGTGCCACTCTACCAGCCCTTTGTGTTGTATAGTTTTATGAGTTTTACCAAATGCATAGTATCATTTATCCATCAACTCAGTATTATACAGACTGCTGCAAAAATCCCTTGTGCTCCACCTATTCACCCTTCCCATCTCCAACCACTGATCTTCTTACTGTCACTATAATTTAAGCTTTCTTCATGTCTTTTCGTGACTTGATAGCTCATTTCTTTTCATTGCTAAATAAGATTTCATTGTCTAGATCAGGGGTCGTCAAACTGTGACTCGTGAGCCACATGCAGCTCTTTGGGTACGTTCCGTCTCAAAAGTTTGCCGACCCCTGGAAGAGCCAATCCTGTCCCTCACAACAATTTAAAAATTATTCGAGAGCCATAAATATATTTTTACATAATCACCATTATGTGAATAATATCCTTTAAAAATTTTATAAATGAGGGCCAGCCGAGTGGCGCATTGGTTAAGAGCTGGCTTGGGACGCCAGAGGGCCCCGGTTTGGATCCCACATATGAGGGCCAGTGACACTGCCCTCTACAGCTAAGATGCTGAACAACAGCTCAACCTGGAGCTGGGCTGCCATGAGTCGCCGATGATGGCGTAGGCTGCAGCCCCTGTGGCAGTGGGTTGCCATGGGCTACCGTGTGTAGCCAGCAGCCAGCGTGAGTGGCCAGCCGCCACAGTGAGTGGCTGTCCAGAAGCCGGCGACTGATCTGCCTCACCCGGGAAGAGCGCAATGATGGTGCCAACTTGGACCAGTGAAGCAACATCCTCCACAACTAGACTGAAGAACAAAAGGACAGCAACTTATCTGTTGCCCTTCCCCCAATTTCCCAGCACTGTTCCCCTCCCCCAATTCCCCAATAAAAATCTTCTAAAAAATTTTTATAAATGAAACTATGATAGTTTTATTTTCATTTTCATTTTTACTTCAGAGCCACAGTTCATGAGCCACAGTTTGCTGACCCCTGGTGGCTCTTCTGTCACAAAAGTTTGCCAATCCTTGGTCTAGATATACCACAGTTTGTTTATCCATTCACATCTTGAAGAACACCTTGGTTGCTTCTAATTTTGGGCATTTATGAAGAAAACTACATAAAATTTGTGTGGACATAAGTTTGCAACTCACTTGAGTCAACACTAGGAGTGCAACTGCTAGATCATATGGTAAATCTGTGTTTTCTTTTAAAGAAATAGCAAAACAAAACAAAACAAAAGCATCAAATTTAATGAGAATATCAAATGTTGGTAATAATGAGTGAAATTGCCATGGCAGTGTATGCAAAGACTCCTTTAGGCTCAGATATTCTGGAGATCAAGTTAGTAAGTATAAAGAAGTTTCCAAATGTATATATACACTAGGAGCCCTCTATTTTAATTCTAGGAAAATAGGTTATCAGATTGGCCAAAAAAATGTAGGTATGAGACTGTTGATAACATTACTGCTTATGGTACTTCAGAATGTACTGGAGAACATTACTATTAGAGTATGCTGTTTAGAGCATTGCTGTTGGAGTATAATGTTTCTAGTGCTGGAAAATTTTGAAGAACTCAAATGGAATGGTTGAAAAACACTAACCTTATGAAGTGTCCATGTTATAATGTTAAGTGGAAAGTATAGGACAGAAAGCCAATCATATAGAAAAATAGCAGTTTCTGGGCCAGCCAAGTGGCTCAGTTG